TGGAGGTCCGCCTGGAGTAGTAACATCTGTTAACCTATTTCCGTCATTAAAAAACTGTGCGAACACTGCTGCAGTACCATCTGAAGAAGGCATCCCAACTTAGTGTTCAAAGGTTGTCTTGAAGAAATCGATTTTAAATATAATCTTGTCCATTATACAATATTTCGTTTCAGGTACCCTCGACTTATTTCTCCATTAAGCGCTCGCTGAAATTTTACAAAGTCGGGTTCGATAACCGCCGGTACTAATAAAATTGTTAATTGCAATTTTAAGTATTGATTAAAGTGCTCGGAGGTGAAAGAAAACATCACGACGAAACCTGCATGTCTGAGAAATTTAAAAAATACTTCAAATTCATGTAAAGATCGTCAAAACGCTTTGGGGCAGCGCGATGTACATCTCCTTGCACAAAAATTCTCATATTAATTAGAGGAGGCCTGTATCCAGCAGTAACTGACTTGACTTTAATTTTTAAATTATTATCTATGCAAACTAAAACAAATAGCATAATAATTATTTATATATAACCTTACCTAGATCTAGTGGAATCGCGTTTGTTGATTTTTCCCCGTATCGTTGTTTAGCTTAGGGCAAAAAGTAACATCGTGTCACTGACATCTACGTCTATCTTCAGTCACAAATATAGGTCCACGAAACAGCAAGTAAACGAACAAAGCGTTTCAGATTCGTGACATTCAAAATTATAATCAACATTGTCAATTACAATCGAGATAACTATATTCGTGTTGCGACTTAAATTATTCGACTTTTTTAGTACACGAAGAAACACGAGATTCATCGAAAATAAATTTTCTAAGTTTGAAATAATATTTTTGTCTGCAAACATCGATTTCAACTGAAACGATAAATTTTTTTAGCGAATTTTTAAAGATAATTAGACAAGTAAATTAATAAAAACAACTCGACTGAAGAAATTCCACCCTCGCACTGAATACCACCGTAAAATAGTACTTTACGAAGGGATGATAACGCATATCGTCCCGTGAGTGTCGTAGGAGACGACAGAGCAAAAGTGAAACAGGAGATGGGCAGCAGCATCTTCCGTTATAACAGCTCGAAATAATAGAAACTGCGGCTGACAACCCGCTCGCCAGGTATGTCAACTATGGCAAATATCTCCCATAATGACAATCCCCTCCCTATGAGACAATCTAAGGAGGAAGAGACCTACCTTCAGCAGTGGACTTTTATAGGCTGTTATGGATTGGATGTACAGAAGATAATCTACCAGGAGCACATGCCCTACTGAGAGGTGAAATTATTAAATCAACATTAACATTACAACTATGGCGAAATCCACCCCTATGAGGTAATATAAGGGGGAGACCTATGTTCAGCAGTGGACTTTTATAGGCTGTTATGGATTGAATGTATAGAAGATAATCTACCAGGAGCACATGATCCCTACTGAGAGGTGAAATTATTAAATCAACAGTAACATTAGAACTATGGCGAAATCCACCCCTATGAGGTAATTAATATAAGGGGGAGACCTATGTTCAGCAGTGGACTTTTATAGGCTGTTATGGATTGAATGTACAGAAGATAATCTACCAGGAGCACATGCCCCACTGAGAGGTGAAATTATTAAATCAACAGTAACATTACAACTATGGCAAAATCCCCCTTATGAGGCAATGTATGGGGGAGGCCTTTGTTCAGCAGTGGACTTTTAAAGACTGTAATGGATGAATGGAATGGAACTCGACTGAGGAAAGTCCACCCTCACACTGAATACCTTTGTAAAATAATAGTTTAATACTAACGGGTGAAAACGCATAATTCATTTTGATTTTTAACTGAGGGCAAAACTTAACTTTAGGTGCTGTGTGCTTTTCACTTCATCATTAGTCGTTTATACGTGGTAGAGCCACGCTGCGGCTGTTATGGTTGTGGCATGAATGAGTCGGCTCGACCGCGGAAGGAACACACTCTCACAGAATAGTAGCGTAAAATAGCTTAATGCTCCTGTGTTTCGTATGGAGAGTGTAGAGAAACGGAGACCCGTTTTACTGGAATCGAGGCAATCCATCTTAGTCCTCAAGGGTGACAACGCATCTGCATTTTGATTCGTAATTGTGGATTAATGTAGATGTCTATGGGCCACTGCAACCACTTACCATCAGGTGGACTGTGTGCTCGTTTGTCACCATATCCTATAAAAAAATCATTATCATCATTACAGCCCAACACTAGTCCACTGCTTGACATATGCATGCCACAAGAAATCCACAGAGTACGATCCTAGGCCACCTGCATCTGATAACATTCTCTACATCTAACACTCTCTGCATCTAGTGGCGAGCGTTCAAAGGGTGCCACACGAGAACCTTTCGTATTTATCGGTTGTTGGTACTCGATTCTTCGAGCTATATGGTCACTCGATTGTTCTTCAGCTTACTAATCCGTTGGGCTATGTCGCTTACTCTGGTTCCACTGCGGATATCCTCATTTCGAATTCTACTGCCCAGAGAAAATTCGACCATAACCCTTTCCATAACTTGACGAGCGACCTTGAGCTTCCTTGACCACTCTCAGATTCATATGTCAGTTGTTTCCAGTTTTGAGGTATACATATATCACACCTTACATCTATAAAAAAAATCGAAACGAATACACATTTTTCGTTCGTTCACTCTATAATTATAATAATAATAATTTATTCAATTATTAATTTATAGACTACGAAACTCAGTTAAAACGGTTTCTTAATATTCACCGTATTTTTACGCAAAAACTTTTATTTGGTAATCAATATTTTTTTTATTTGGTTCACAAATGGAATGTAACGTTTACATGGTTCAGGTAACTTGAAAAAAGTAAACAAACGTTCATTAATACATAGTGAACACGGCATGCAACAAGTGGACGAGATAACAAATACAAATAAAGAAAGGAAAAAACTCTAAAATAATAAATATTAATTAATTAATGGCTAATCTAATGTTAGCCCTTTCTGAGGCTTATGGAACCATGAAAGATGTCGAACAAATCACGAATATTATTATAACTATTAGTCATTCTGTACAATGGCGAGTGATGACCTGCCACTGTTTTACAGTGTGGCGTGACAAAAATCTTTTTGCGGCCTAGGCGACTGCCAGTTCTAGGGACCGACACATCTAAATGATTTAATATGTTCGGACAGTTGATGAGACCATGGATAATTTTATAGAGGAACATGACATCAGATGATTACCGCCGCTTGGATAGTGGTTCTAATTTGTAATGCGCCAATCTACTCTCGTATGAAATGAGTGTCCTGCATTTCTTATTTTCATACGATAACTGGTACATAAACCTTTTCTGAATCTTTTCCAGTCGGTTTGAGTGGCACTTGTACCCCAGATTCCAGACTGGGCTAGCGTATTCAACAATAGTTCTCACCAAACAGTTATAGACTGGAATGATTAAACCAGGGTCTTTAAAAGATTTTATTAGCCTGGATATAAACCCGGATAATTTAGAAGCTTTTTTTGTTATTGTGTCAATGTGACTTCTAAAGCTGAGCGTGCTGTCAATTAAAATGCCTAAGTCTAGGATTTCCGTGACCTCAACCAATGGCTCATCGTTTAACTTGTATGTTGCCTCGGTTTTATTTTTCTTTCTAGTTAACTTTAGATGAGAACATTTTCCAGTGTTGAGGAGCATATGGTTTTGACAACACCAGTCGTATAATCTATCCAACTCGAACTATAGAGCGGTCACATCTAGTTTGGAGTCAATGATTTTGTACAGTTTAAGGTCGTCTGCGTACATTTTAAAATTACATTCGATTATATTGGCTAGATCGTTTATGAAAATAAGAAAGAACAATGGACCGATATGAGAGCCCTGCGGAACGCCTGAAGGAATCTCTCTAGCTGAGGATGAATAACCACGCAACGAGACCAACTGTGACCAATTTCTGAGATAGGAATCGCACCAGCGCAGCAGTGAACAATGGACCCCCATTAGCATGATCTTCTTTATAAGCAGGTCGTGGTTGATGAGATCGAAAGCCTTGCTAAAATCGGTGTAAATGCTGTGTACCTCTTTATTGCTATCCAGTGAACATGCAATATCATTAACAAAACCGACTAAGTTAGATGTTGTTGTGTGTGTGTTGTTGTGTAGACTTTTTAGGCTGAAAACCATGTTGGTTTGGATGCAGGTGCTCTTTGACGTGCCAATATATCGTTTTATGAACAAATGACTCTAGAACCTTACCGGGTGCTGGAAGTGTGGAAACAGGCCTGTAATTGGACACATCGGCGAGATCTACTTTTTTATGGATGGGGATGATGCGCGCCTTTTTCTATACGCGGGGGAAAATGCCGTTTCGGATAGAGTGATTAAATATATAGGTAAGAGGTTTTGACATACTTTTAGCACACTTCTTTAGAATAATCGGAGGCAAGCCATCCAATCCTGAAGCCTTGCTTCCATCCAACCCCATCAATGCTCTTTCTACCTCGTATTCGCAGACAGTAAGTGAGCTGATGGTCAGACAGTTCTCGCAACTATGGAGAGCTGTATTATTGACATTGGATGACTTGTTTGTCAAATTGGTGACGATGTCATCGTATATTGACTGAAAGTGCTCTGAGAATAGGTCACAAATCTCTTGGCCACCTCAGACAGTCTTGGTACCTCGAATTATGTGAGAAGGGAGGGATTTTGTGTTTCTTTTGAGACCATTGACATAAGACCAGATGAACTTAGGGTTGGAGCGTAAATGAGAAGCTGCGTTTTTTTAAAGCTAGAAAAACAACTTTTGATCATTGTATTGCAACGGTCTCTTAGAAGTTCATATGTTAATCTGTCAAGGGGATTACCATACTGCTTGTATTTTTCGTGATACTTCGCTTTTTCTTTTAGGCATTTTATTAAGGCTGTACTGAACCACACCGGATATTTTTCTAAATGTGATATTTGATATGGCGTGTGCTTCTTAATTATGGGCAAAACTATGTCTTAGAACTTATCAACTATGGAATCTAGTCATAAAGCTCAGACCACACTTCGGACCACACTATATGCGTGAGTACTTCGTTGATAGCGTCAAAGTCGCACTTGGAATAGTTTGGTGATGCTACACGTTTGGACCTGCATGGTTTTATATTCCCCAGGCTGTGAATTAGTATTTCGAGGGCAGGATGATGAGAATCCAATCCAACCAAGGGCAGCGAAGCTTCGACCACCTTCACGTTATAAGTATTATCCACAAGCACCAAGTTCAAAATACGACAATTATCGTTTAAGATACAATTACATTGTTTAAGATTATTGAACGTAATTTCGTCTATGAACATGTTTTCGATAGTCCCGTTATTTGGCTTTGGGGTGTATACATTTGGATCGCCTATAGTCTCCCAGACTATATTAGGAAGATTGAAATCACCTACCAACAGGGTAAATGAGCCGTTTAATATTTTATTGCCGACGACATCCGTGAGATTATTGTGAAAAGTTTGTAAGTAATCTTTTGAAATTGGTGGGGGAATATACGCAGCGCAAATATTTATTCTAGCTTTGTTGTTAAGTCCTAAGTCTATAGAGAGCCATAATTCCTCGCACGCCGACTCCCATCTCTTCATTCTCGAGGCCCTTTATTTTTTTCAGTACAGCTAAACAAATACCACCACCTTCTTTTTTCGCTTGGGAAGACAAAGTGGAACTTCGATCGCGCTTAAAAATATCGTATCTAGCATACAAGAGTTCGTTGTCAAAAACGGTGTCATTGAGCCATGACTCCGTCATAACAATTAGGTCGTAAGATTTTTGTAATGCATTAATATATAAATTCTCACTATATATCCATATGTTAATAGAAAAACTGGTTGTTTGTTTGTTTCCCAACCGGACCGCCATTATATAGTGGTAACTCCAAGCCACTATATAACATCCTACAGAAGGAAGTCTACTTTACATTTAACAAGTAATATCAAACTTGCCGACCAGTTTTTATTTCCTTGTTTGAGTAAAATAATCGAACGGGAAGTGAAACGTGTATTTTCCAATACATCAATTAATAACATTTTCATTGATTTAATAGCAAACGAGAATATGATGAAATATTAAAATTTGTGTCAATGATTAAGCACTTTAGGGCAAAGTCACACTATCATATTTTTTATTTGTCATAAAAGTAAGTATAACAAAACAAGCACACGGTTCACCTGATCCCTTTGCATTTTCTTTCGCACCTACCACGGGGAGTGCTCTGAGGAATTGCTTGGATTAATCCCAGCCGCCAAATTTCATGAACACACATCGCGGCAAAACTCCTGATACCATCCACACCATCTGATGTTGGCGGTCCACCACTGTACGTTTCAATAGAAGTTTTCTTCCGCGTACGACCTCTCTGTGGAATAGTTTATCACCGGCGATTTTTCCGGACCGATACTACTTAGGAGCCTTCAAGAAAAAAGCTCACTCCTTTTTAAAAGGCAGGCAACGCACCTACAATTCCCCTGGTGTTGCAGTTGTTCATGGGCGGCGGTAGTCACTTAACATCAGGTGAGTCGTGTGCTCGTTTGCGCCCTCTACTATAAAAAAAACCTGATAACCTTCACCTACATCTATAGTAACCGAATAGTGACGGTGTAAGAATATACACTGCCCCATATCATCCCTTGGGTGACGTAAGAGGTAACTGAGGATAACAAATCAGATAGGCAGCAGCGTCTTCCTAATGTGGTGGTAAAAATTAAAAAAAATACATGTGAAATATTCTCACGCGGTAGAAGTGAAACCCTCGGAAAAATAAACTTCGAGAGAATGAGATGAATGCACAGTGTCGGTAGTAAGATAATTGTAGGATTTAACATAACATTACATAAACACTCACACCTGTCACCCAGAGGGGTAGGCAGAGACTACGGACTTCCATTTGGGACGATCCTGACATACCTCTTTCGCCTCCTTTACATACATATATCTACGCATACATGCTCGTCGGTTAAGGGTATTTCTAATGTGGTCCATTTTCAAAATATCGCCAATTTGGTCGATAAACTTTCTTCTAGGGCGTCCCATTCCGACTCTATCGTTCACATCTGCCATATAAATTTGCTTTGTCACTCTTTCCTCATTTACTCTTTCTACATGGGGGTTGAGTCGCTCGCGTCCGTAGGCTTCGACCACCTAACCCTAGGCCCACCCTACACGTGTCCACCGGGTGGTGCTAAACGGGCGACAAAGCCGAAAAAAGAGACTTGGCTCCTAGCCGTATGGTAGCGGCGTAAAATCTACCACCACCCCTAGTTCGCACCATGAGTCATGAAATTGTAGGATTTATGTAATTAAAATATAAATAAATTTATAAAACACACTGTATAGTCTATCTATCTCATTCTCTCTCAGGCTCAATCGTATAAGTGTAGGTATATGTTTGTCTATTTTTAATGTCACTTTTTTATTTTATTTTTTTAAGTTTCAAATCACAACGATTCTAAAGAAGTTTTCACTTCAGAAACTGCGGTAGATGACCCGCTTGCCAAGCGTGGCAACTATGGCAAATATGGCAAATATCTGTATCTGAGGCAATTTATGGGGGAGACCTATATTCAACAGTAGACTATAATAAGTTGTAACGGTAACAGTAACATCTGAAGATCATAAAGATTCAAAATACGGATGCATGGTCACACATTTGAATACCAGCGTAAAATATAAATAAATAATAATATAATACGACATCTTTTACATTTTTTTCTATTACAGAGGAAAACTGAACAGGAAATGAACAGCATCTTCTGATAACCAGCGTGCCAAACATGGAGCTAGGAATTATTGGTACGTTTTAGAGCCACGCTGCAGTTATATTATGGTTGTAGCATGAATGGATCGACTCGACCGAGGAAGGAGCACAAAGTAATGTTTCGTATGGTGAATGTGTTAGCAGCATCTACTGTTGACGATAAAGTAACTATCCTTAACCACAATATTCTTAGCCTTTATGATGCTCATGCTCCTATTCACAAGGTTAGATTGAAGCGTCTCCCTGCCCCTTGGATGACAGAGGGCGTAAAGATGGCAATGGCTAGACGAAATCGTGCTTTTCTTCGTTTCAAGAGAGATCGAACTGAAGAAAATTGGATATCTTTTAAAGCAGCCAGGAATAGGTGTAATCAGATGGTACGTGCAGCGATTCGCCGATATTTCCATAACTGTATTAATAACTCTTCTCCAGTTTTAGTGTGGAAATTCCTAAAATCTTTCGGTCTTTGTAGACCAGCTACGTTGGATTGTGGTCCTTATCTGTCACTTGATGAAATCAACCAACATTTCGCATCTGTAAAAGCACTGGACCCTACAATTCGTTCCCAAATTATGGCTTCCATTGCTTCTATGCAAATTCCTAACATTCCTAACTTTAATTTTTCTCCTGTTTCTCAGGATGATGTCAAAAAGTCGATTTTAGCAATCCAGTCCAAGGCCGTGGGTTGCGACGAGATTAGCAGACATATGGTAGTATTTATACTAGAGCACCTTCTCATATAATCAATTTTTCCCTTGGTTCAGGTCAGTATCCTAATCTTTGGAAGAGGGCTTTTGTAAAGCCTCTCCCAAAAGTTCCTACTCCCATTCTTCCCAATAATTTTCGTCCAATATCCATTCTACCCTTTCTTTCCAAAATTTTAGAATCCCGTGTTTACAAGCAAATTTCTACTTGTAACCATAACATACATACATAACATTGAAACATAACCTACTGAGTATATATCAGTCTGGGTTTCGTCCTGGTCATAGTACCACTACTGCATTAATTAATGTAATTGATAATATTAAACAAGGCATGGAAGAAAAGAAAATAACAGTACTGGTACTAGTTGATTTCTCAAATGTTTTCAATACAGTTGAAATCCTGAATCATTTGTATATACTAATTATGTATGTATTTAAATATGTATACTTGTATGTATATCCGTTTATTTATATATTTGTATATATGTAAGGTTAGATCATATATGTATAGTTTATTTATTAGTAGTTTGTATATATTATGTAGTTAATTATCATTTGTATTGTGTTCTCTTACTCTATATTGCTACACCTACGTCAAATTCTCACCACTCCATGGGTTGAGTGATAGAGAATGCCTCAAGGCATTAAGTCCACCCTTTGTATTCTTTTGTTTAAGGATGCAATAAAGAATAAAATAAATAATAAATAAATGTGGCGATCCGGAGATCCTTTTTACTGGTAACGAGGCATTCTATCTTAGTCATCATGGGTGACAACGCATCTGCGTTTTGATTCTTAATGGAAGATAAATGTAGATGTCTATGGGCCACAGCATCCACTTACCATCAGGTGGACTGTGTGCTCGTTTGTCACCCCTATTCTATAAAAAATACACACGAGGAGTACTGTGAAGATGAGCAGCCCACACGACATATATTTATATTAATGACAATTACAGAAAATAAATATCCTGGCAGGGTCACCTTCCAATGATGAAAGGTGTTGATGGGGATGAAGGCATCCACGACTTTTTCTGACCCCAGGCGGCGCCACTTAAAACTGTGGTGTAGGTAATATTTGACGGAATTAGTTAAGTAAGTAATAATTAACAAATTAGTTAATTAATAAAACTTCTCCGCGATGTATTATTAATTAAATTAAGTAATTTGTTCCAAAAATGTAAAAGTTAGTGTATCTTTCTGTGTTTTTGTTACTAAACTACAGATATTCATAAAAATAGAAAAATAAATAAAAAGAGTAAAAAGATTGCAAAAAAATTAAAGAGGAACCACTGAGGCACGGTTTTTTGTATCAATATAGTATTCCATAAACTAATAAACTTTTATTTAAAACGTGGTAGATCCATGCTGCAGTTATATTAGTAGTACCTATAATTGTAACACAAATGGGTCGGCTCGACCGGAACACGCTCTCACAGAATACCATCGTGAAATAGTAGCTTAATGCTGCTGTGTTTCGTACGTAGAGAACCGGAGATCCTTTTTACTGGAACGAGGCATTCCGTCTTAGTCTTTACGGGTGATAACGGATCTGCATTTTGATTCGTAATCGAGGAAAGATGTATGTATTTGTGGGCCAGAGCAACCACTTACCATCAGGTGGAGTGTGAGCCCATTTGTTACCCTATCCTATAAAAAAACTTCACCTAGATCTCAACTGGCAACTTCTGGTGAGCGGAAGATTAGCCCTCATTGGACTCGATAGCTATAATTGATTTAATGAATTAATATAAATATGGGTGGTGTACGTGTGGGATACACTAAATTACAGTACGATGAAGTTCCTAGTACCAGCCGCTAATGAACATCTGCAACACCAGGGGAATTGCAGATGCCTTACCGGCCTTTTAGAAAGGAGTAAGCACTTTTCTTGTAGGTCGCTAGGTCGTATCGGTCCGGAAAAATCGCCGGTGGTAAACTATTCCACAGAGAGGTCGTACACGAAAGAAAACTCCTAGTGAAACGTACAGTGGTGGACCGCCACACATCCAGATGGTGTGGATGTAAAGAAAGTAAAGTTAAGTAATGTGTATAATAATCTGGGCCTTGGTAGTTGAATTTGGTTTTACCGTTTTTTGTTTTGAGGTTAAATGAGTACCATGGCT